CGGCATTCCTGAACTCTTTGCACTAATGAGCCCGGGCCTTTTTCCCGTCTCGCCGCTACGCATATGGGTCTTTTTCCGCTCTGCTGCTCCCCACGGTTAGTCCCTTTGGACGTCCGTGACAATCCCCAAGTTCAAGTAAACACTGCTCTGTGTGCAAATGCAAATGCATTTACAAAAAGTTTTTTTTTTAAAAGCCACCTTTAAAGGCGCTATATAAAATAAATTGTATTATTATTAATATTGTTGATATTCTTCCTCCCAGGACTTGTAAAATTGTTGTTGTTATTGTTGTTATCCTGTAAAGCGCTTTGAGAAGCATACTGTCCAGCATATTGTATTTCATTGCACTTTGACAGATCGTCTTATAATCACTTGTTGTTAGAATATCCCCCAAGAGGATATCCCCCCAAAGAGGTATCCAGGTAACAGTGAAACGGGCATACAGTCTCGGGAGATCTCCCATTTTCCATGTAAATAGTTCTCTAGTTCCGCACCCCTTGGTGTCAGTCTCTCTCTCTCGGGCCCGCGCTCTTGCCAGGCTTGTCTTGTGTCTCTCTCTCGTCTGGGTGGGGGAGTGCTGCGGGTGGTGACATAGAAGAAATAAAGCACAGTTTTTAACTCCACAGGTTTGAGTCTCTGTGTTCATCCTCAACTAACCCAAATTCATTACATTGGTGTCAGAGCAGGAGGATGGACACTGAATGGCCGATGATGTCGGACTCAGAGAAGCGCCGGTTCCCCCAGCAGCTGAGTGACCCCCTAAACTGCCTTTTGGGGACGAGCAGCAGCCGCCAGGGGCCAGGACGACCCCTCAGCTCCGCCAGTGGCCACAGCCCTTATCAGGGCTACCCCACGGTGATATACTCAGCGGAAGGGGGGCCCTTTCTCGGGTCGCCTCAGGCCGTGTGGCAGGAAGGAGACTCCAGACCAGCGGGATCCAGCCCGCCAGCCCTGCTCCAGCCTGCGCCGGTGAGACCGAGCCGTTATAATGCGGAGATCCCATGGCAAATGTTTGAGGCCCAGTTCCAGATGGCCACCTGGGCAAACAACTGGTCTCAGGAGGAGATGGTGCGCCACCTCGCCACCATCCTGGAGGGGAAGCCCTGCCAGGCGTTGCTGGATGTAACCGGGGACCATCAGTACAATTACGCAGCGTTGGCGTCGGACCTCCGGAGGCGTTTGGGCAGGAGAGGGGAGGCGCCGGGACTGCTGTGGGCAACGCTGGTCCAATGCTGCTGCCTAGCGGGAGAGCCACTGGGTCCAGTCGCCGCAGACGTGGCCTACTTA